CTCGCATGCGTGCGAGGACTCCAGTAGCTGAGTGGCCACCTAGTTCGATGTTACGAAACAACTCGCCTAGGCACTGGCGACCTGTCAGATCACTTTTATTCAAGAGCGCGTCTTTGAGAAGTGCATAAGGATCGCTTACTTCAGGAATAAACAAATGTGCTGTAACATGCGTGTTTAATTCCCGCAGTAGCGAACATATGACGGCAAGAAATCGAGAATGTGGGTCTGCTACTTTCTGTTCTCAAAAATCTGCCTTGGCACACAGAAACCCTGTTTCTGAATTGTCTGGCCAATATGGCACTAGTTGGATCGTGTTCGTAGTCGGCTTAATACGATAAGCTTGGGAGTATAGTGGGATATGCGAAAGAGTTAAATATGGATATGTAAATGTTATCGAAATGAAAACAATATGCAAATATAAAAGGAAACAGCTCACCAACTCAATATTCGCTATTGGTCGGGATATGTGATCACGTTGGGCTCACCAATTTAGGAATTGTCCCGGTGCGAACTTGACAGGCGCAAACGCCAATCATTAATTATTCGAACTTGTTATATACCCACGAATACGAGACCGAGAAAGAACACAATAGCGTAGTCGGATGGAATAGTATGTTTGCGAGGTCGTGCCAAGATACCGACGAGTTCCAAATAACTGGCAAGAGAGTCGATTACGAGCGGTGCAACGTGACACGACAACGTGCCGAATGGCGAAGATGCTTGACGGGGTGCCTTCGGCTTAGTGGGTCCAGTTAAACTATCAAGGTTAGCATCAATGTTGAATCTAGTCAAACCCCAGGCTATTGATTTTGGGGAAGTTTGTGACTCTACAGTAATCACTACCGCCAAAACTGTATGCTGGCAAGCTTTAAAGACTACTAGGGCCACCGGGCGATTACAACAAGATAATAGGAACCAGTCTTAGAGACCTGGAACCAGGAGCTTCGAAACTGCAGGTTCCCTCCACTCGCACTGTTGTTTTGGGATGTTGGAACCACTTACATGTGTCACATTTTCGAAACGTCACGCTACCGTGTGATTGATCGATAATTGAGAAACTAGGTTATGCAAGTGATGTGGTGAGTTGTAAAGAAACGACTCTGATAAATAAGATAAATAATCTTGTCATGAGAATGGGGGTGTAAGTCCTATTAGAAATATCAGCGTAAATCATAGATTCCCTAACCCTACTATAATATATGCAATAAGGCGCATCACTTCGCCATATTATTACGAGTAACACTTGTTTCTCTTTTGGTACCATTGACTTTTTTTTCTCATTCTCCACTTGCCATACGTCTGGCACTTTTTAAGTAGCGCTCAATACTTATTTGCAGGTGCTTACAAAAACAGGAATTGCAAAAGGTTAACCTATCTTATCAGCATCTCTGTTGCCCCCCAACCAAACCAAACTGCAGTTTACAAGGAAAATGACTTTAAACACATGGTCGCCACCTTTTAAGTCATAAGCAAGAAAAACGTAGACTTCTATGACCACCGAAGTAGTTTAGCTGAACAAAAAGAACCGAGCCTCAAGACCTAGAAGCATGAGCTCAAAATCCTCAAGTTTTTTCAACTTGCACTATTGATTTTGGATGAGATTTGGCCAGCGTCTGTTTTGAGTACACCTACGTGTAACTTCTAGGTATACCTGATTCGTGTTTAAGTGGCTCAGAAAAGGAGAAAGAGGATAAAAAAAGAGTGATATTGGTAGATGTGTATGAAAGAGTAAAAGAATAAACGAAGTTCAGGGAAATGATCGTCATTCAGAAGATTACTAGGGTCGGAACACAAGACGTTATTAGTAACGAGATTTAATAGTCATAATAATAGTGATAATGATGTTAATAATAATAATAATAATAATAATAATAATAATAATAATAATAATAATAATGATAATAATTACGGCAATGTGAGCCGAGGATTCGAAACCATTTACAGTGCTAACGCACGCGGAAGCCACCTTAGGGACATTACATGGAGTTCTCAGTAAGGCTAGGATAATAGTGGCATTCAAACCCACAGACTCGCTTAGAAATAAGCTTTGTACTTTAAATGATCCTGGTGATCTAATGGAAACGAATATTTTAGTGTATCAAACGCCTTGGAACGGTTGCGAGATCGAATACATAGATGAAAGTAGTCGATAGGGATCGACTAGGCTGTTCAAGGACAAAACCGTAGCTAAACCAAGACTAGTAGATCTTATTAGGAATAAAAATCTGGAAAGAAGCTTCCCCCTTAGGTATGCTTACAGTCACACACAACAGAATGAGATAATGTGACAGTCCTTAAAACTAACTGATTGGGGTGGAGAAATTGATAACCCAGTATTAGTCTATAGAATCGGCATCAGATATACATGCAACCGGAATGACTCAGCACCATTGCTGGTAAATAGAAAATCCGACTACCCCTACCACAAAAGCGAGAGAATTAGAAACATATGAACCGTGTCTCAAAGTTTGTGGAGCTACCTTGATATGACCGTAGGCAATGAATTGTGTCCAAAACGTAATTCACTAAACCATACTACTCCCTTGTGATGCATCTAACAAATCAAATGAGTTGGAACTAGGTTCTACCCCAGAGTTCAAGTTATACCTGTATATTAATATACGTTAGACATTTTTGAAATGAGAGTTAGTGATAGTCCTGCTGTTGTTTTTCTTGATACTCTACATGATCACTAGGAAGAAAACCCGACGAAAACAGAACTTAGGAATACGCTTGCGTGTGACTGTTTTCTTTTAGGCTTTGCTATTTTATTTAACCTACATCTTACTCCTATCATCGATTCATTTTGTCTGGTGAATATCTTGGCAACTGTACTGCTTACCAAAAAATAATGCTAAGGATGTATGCCTGGGCGGAAATAAGCTCTAACCTCGCCTTCTTAGCCTTATACTTTCTGTACTTGTCGTGACCGATAGCTGCTACCTTGATGTGGTAGTTGAGCCTGGATATCACGATGAAAGGATGACCTACGCTGGCTGGAACGTTTGTTCCTTGAGGTCCTTCAATGCCAGAAAGGTCTGTTGGGTAGTGATAAGAAGATAAGCAGTTGCAGTTACAGCTTAAATTGCCGCACTAAGATGAAGTGTGAGTGTGAACTTTTGCTTCTAACTGGATGACTGTATGAGAACAGTAAGGTTTTTCCCTCAGCAGTACCATACTTATGCTGCCTTTCATATGACAGCTAGATGAGGTCGACCCTGAGCATACCACACTGTGTCCTATGGTATTCCAGTGCCTGCAGTTTGAGTTTTTGAACTACATTTAAATGAAAACCAATTGTGAAACCTTCTTAAATCCTATGTGATCGGTCTCAGGTAGCTCCTATGGGTTATGTGGTCATGCACCACTATTACTAACATAGTTTTTTTTCATGTACACGTAATTTCCCTCAGTGAAGGCAGCCAGAAAGTATCAACCGCACTCATAACTGTGTTACACATAATCTTAGCTTGGAGACACGAAAAGCTAGGTTATAAACCTTCATAGATTTAGGTGACTGGGACATGTATTGCTTCTACCTAGTCACCGTCTGCTCCATCTCACAATGCCGGCCAAAGTAGGTTCAGGCTGGGAAAAAGTTAAAGGCGGCCAAACTAGGACATGGTGTCAATCCATGAAGTATTTGACTTCGTGTAGGGCAATACAGACTTCTCGATTAGGATATACGTGTGACAAGAAAAACCAGTGATTGGAGACTGTAAGTGGTATTGTTGAGAATCAATGTCATTGACACAGATGCATTAATACATTATCTTCAGTGTGGCCATAATACCGAATTTCTTTGTCGTTTTTTCCTATCCATCACTTTTGAGTGCTTTCCTTTTATTTGTTGATCTCTACTCTTGATGTTTTCTTAAAATCAATGTACTGATATTTGATGTGACAGCTTGGTCTGCTTCACAGTAGTGCCAGACCCCATATTGATGATGACTTACTGACTGACAGTTTCGTTTATTATTATTCTTATCACCTTGTATATGTCAATCCGTTTTCTTAATTATTTGACCACTCCACTCCCAACTATTCGAGTTGGGATTATCAATCACCTGTTAAGGTGTGACCAGCTCGGTAGTATCATTCTCCCCGAAAAAAATAGGTCCAATTGTGGGCTCAGTATAGATATTTTAACATAGTTGTTGAGTCGCTTGTTTTGATAGTTGATTATTTCATTCGTCTACAAAATTATAAATCATCAATATCATACTATGAATCATGTTATTACTTAGTTTTCTAGACCACAATAAATTCAGTGTACAGTTAGAATCAAAGATTACGACTGACAGTCGATCCTATACATTTATCGATCAGCTTCTCGGTTATATACTGTCCAACTTTACTATATTCAATAAGTGTGCTTTATCGTCACCATGATCTTTTTTATTTCAAGTGATGGCGAAACGTAAAAAAGACTTTCAAAAGGTCCGAGTTAAAGTTGGGCGGAAGTTGAAACGCCAAAATGAGACAGTAATCAATTTACATAAGAAAAGAATAATCTTGCCTAAAGAACGTGAAATCATAAAGGTATGTTATATGTGTAAATAGTAATATCTGATGGGATGTTTCAGATTGAAGGTGACAAAACCAGCATTCAAACATTTGACACCTCTGTTCATTCACTCAATATTGAAGATAGTTCTGTTCAACACTCTTCTTTACGAGCTCTCAATCGTCTTTTGGATCCTCTAACGAAAGAAATAAGCACAGTTACATTTTTGGATAAAAATATTTTAACACTATCTAGCAATTTCATTGAAAAAGTGATTAATATTCATCGAAGATTATTGGGTACTACTGAGAACTTAGGCTGTGATATTCAACTAGGCAATTTAATCTTTGTACTTGGAAGATTTTGTAGACGAGTTGATGATTCCCGGTTTTGTGAAGAGATTCGTCAACTATTTTTTAAAATTGTACAGGTAAGGGTATACAGTATCATGTTAGTATGTTGATTAATATTTCGTTAAACACACAATGCTCATCACTTTTTTATACTCTATTCCCCGTGAAATAATCTTGATGAGCTCTCAGTTCCAACCGGTTAGTGATTATTTTCAAATTACATTTTGCATTCGGATAGATTTGAATAGATTTCGTGGCTGTGTTGGCTAACACCTTTTGACCTACTTTATAAAGACTTGAATTCATCGTAAGGTGAAAACCACAGACTTAGTATACAGGCGTTGGCTAGCGGCTATGTTTCTTGACCTGAAGGCGTCATTCAACTCCGTGGATCCAGAAGTTTCATAGCGGAGTAGTGCCCAGTAAATACTTCAAGTTAGTAAAGGTCTTATACTTGGACAACCTTGATCGTGTTGAAGACTGCGGTGAAGTATGTAAGTTCAGCTGTATGCGTTGAGTTGTATCCGCGAAAGATATGTACTATCTTTATTTCTATTAAACTTATGGGTGTTTCCTTTGTTTTCATCATCATCATCATCCAGATCAACCTAGGGCCAGGCATTACTGCGTAACGGTCCGAGTTGCCACACCTCATATCAGTACATCAAGTAAAAAGGCAGGGAGGTGAAAGATGAAGATAAAAAAATTCAGTCAAAAGAAATATAAAGTATGAAAAGAGAGACAGAAAGGAAGAATGAGATAGCGGTGAGATTCGGTATAGCGTCGTTAAGATGAGGATGATGTGTGTGTACATCTGCGCCACTCACATCGGTTCTCAGCCATATCACCTACAGTCAGTCTCCAACCACTGGTTCCTCTTGTCCTGCAGACCGCAACCACCTAGTCTTCATTGCGCCACATGGCTTAAACCAACAGTCAAAGACTTCATACATTGGTGCCATGTTTTAGTCTGGCCACCTCAGGCCTTTTTCTAGCATGGACCTACTTCCCCCAACATTGTGTGACCAGGCAATCCACGACTAGGCATATGTAGTACGTGTCCCAACCATCTCAGTTGATGAAGGTTCATAACGTCGTCGACCGACTTACCTCTTCTCCCTAAAACTCTACGCCTCAGCCTGACTTCTGTACTACTCACGTGGTGACACCACGGAATACGTCCTATACTACGAAGGCGGTGGTGATCAAACACTTGGAGCCTTCTCATGTCTTCCACCTTCAATGGCCATGTTTCACAGCCATAGAGTAGAACAGAGGGGACTGCTGTGCAGCATACGCGACTCTTAATAGATAATTGGATATCACGGTGGCGCCATAGGTGGCGTAAGTTTTCGAAAGTCAGTCGAGTCTTTTGTATCCGTGCAGAGATTTCACCGGCCACTGAGCCACTAGTGCAGAGCTGATCCTACTTCCCAGGTAAGTGAAGTGGTCAATACACTCAACCATTACACTCTCTATTGTTATTCACGGTGGGGAAGCGCTGAGGACCAATGGTGGAGCAGCAATTTGCATTTGGGTGGTAAGAAAGGCATCCCTAACACTCTCAAATCGCTACTCAAAGTGTTCAGAAGACTCTGCATCTTGTCAGCGTCTTCACCTATTAGGACTATGTCATCTGCATATTCTAAGTCTGGAGGCCTTAGCTACACAGTAATTGGGTGTAAACTGTTCTGAACCTGAGGTCTAAAGCCTGCTTGGTTTTCTCGGGCTTGTTGTTCCCGAGCTTCACTCAGGTGTCGAAGAATTATAGAACCTAGGATCTTGGGCATTATGTTCGTCAGGCTGTTTCCTCTGTGGTTATCACAAGAGGACTTCTCGCCTTTCTTGAAGACTGGGATAATCAGTGACAGCTAGTCAGAGGGGATCGTATTTGATTCCCATACACTAGCTAACACTTCCGTTAACCTAACTAAGAGCACTCCACCACCATGCTTGTATACCTCAGCAGGTAGTCCGTTCAGTCCTGCTGCCCTTCCTCGTTTCAGGTTACCTACCGCTTTCTCAACTTCTTCTAGTGTTGGGGGGCCTATCTCTATCTCCCAATCAGGATCCGGCTGGATAGCGGGCAACGCGATGGTGGCTGGAGGCCAGTTAAACTGCTCCTCGGAGTGTTCTACCCATCGTTCCAGTCGTCTCCCTTGCGAGTGAATCGCAGATCCATCCTTCTCCGCTATGGTCTCACTAACCACAGTCGACCTTTTCCCCCCAGTTTCCTTAATAAGTCTAAATAACTGTCTACTGTTACTAATCGCCTCCCCCTTTTCCATCTCTTTAGCCTTCGCTGCCCGCAACTGTTCGCGGTCGTTGCGTAGACTTTTCATCAGTCTACTTTTAAGTTGCGCTCGCTCTTCATTGTACTCAGAGCCTGCAGGAATACGTTCACGTGCATCCATTAGTTTGGAAGAAGCTGCTGATATCCACTGGCTTTTTTTAGCCACTATTTTGGAGTCGGTTACAGTATTCAGTGCTGCTTTTACAGCAGACTGGAGATGGTACCAAGCTTCTTCTGGATGAGTGATAGTCTTCTGTTCCGATAACTGCCTAGCCAACTTCTCACTGAACACGGCTTTGCTGTTTTCGTTGCCCAGCAGTACTCGTGGTGGTTTTGTTGCCAAATTTTTCCTACGTCCATTGAGATGCAGACATACACGCGCTCAGACCAACGCGTGGTCGCTATCCAAGCATGTATTCCAGAAGGAGCGGCAGTCTTCCACTGATCCTCTCCAGTGATGACTAATAGCAATGTGGTCTATCTGTGTCCATTGCTGAGTTGAGGTCGGTGGACGCCACATCAAACAGTGTCTTTCTTTGTGTCTGAAATTTGTGCTGGCTAAAAATAGGTGATTATCTGAGCACAGTTGTAGTAGGCGATCACTGTTATCTGTTCGTTCAGCCGGGACTGAACTTTACAGGGATTGATTTTGTTACCTGAGACTTCACAATAGGCCATATAGTCCTTTTACATAAGAATGTTGATAAGATGCAGAATCTTCTAGATACATTAAGATCCATTTCTCATCATCCAAATGCAAATTGCTGCTGTAGGATTCGTCTATATTAGTTCCTCTCTATTCTGACTATATGGGATGAAGTGGTTGAGTTGATTGACGAATGACGCCACATACAGTGGTTGCGAGATATTTATTCACTTACTGGGAGTCTGGCGTACTAAAAAACAGTCCACATAGTCCTAATTTATGGCTATGAAACATAGCTGTCTAAGAGGAACGACATGAATACTTCAGACAACACTATGCCATAGTAAGTGACAGTAGTTAGCAAAAGGTTTCAAGTGTCCGACTAAAGCATGATATATCAGCATACTTTCTGATTGGATTTTAAGAAATATGACATGAAATGATTATTAGCTGTTTTGATATATTCATGTTTTCTTGTTCTAAATCTCAGGTATATTATCTTCATCAGTATCATTGTGTCTACTTGTTTCTCATTCATCCATTATTTTCCTGGTTCATTTTGTTATTTTATCTGATTTTTTCGAATTCTTTAATATGACAGGCATGTAGTGAACTGAACCAACTTTTGTATTCCACTTGGTTTTATTTCGACTATCAAGTTCGTATGTTTTCCAAGATTTAATTGATGATAGAATTTCTGTGCTAAATAGTAAGTTTCACACTGCATATTGACGATTGTACATACTACGTATTCTATGCAGATGTAGGTGGTCGTCAGTTGCTCATAGGTGCACTGTTTTCGACAACAGACTTCTTGAAGGTTCAGTTAGTACTTTCGACAGTTTCGTACTCATTGAGATCCCTAGTGGTTCAGTGGCAGACGAAATCTCTTCAGGGACACAAAAGGCTCATTTGTCTTTTGCCAACTGACGCCATCTTCTGCGCCGCAGCGATATCCGATTGTCCGTTAAGGTTAGAGTATACTGTGCTGCAGTTCGCTCTGCTCTACTGTATGGCTGTAAAACAAAGCCATTAAAGGTAGAAGATATGAGAAGGCTTCAGGTGTTTGACCACTGCTGGCTTGGCAGTATAGGCCGTGTTTTGTGGTATCACCTCATGAGTAACGCAAAAGTCAGGTGTAGAGTTTTAGAGAGGTGATGTAAGTCAATTGACATGATTGTGAAGCTTCATCGACTGAGATGGTTGGGAAATGTGTTACATATGCCTAACCACCATCTGTCTCGTAGCACAAAGGCTGTAGGCGGCCAGACTAAAACCCGACATGAATGTATGAAGTGTTTGACTGTTGGTTTGAGCCATGTGGGGCGATGCAGAGTAGGTAGTTGGGGTCCACAGGACACGAGGAACCAGTGGTTGGAGACGGACTCTTGGTGATATGGCTGGGAATTGATGTGAGTGGCGCAGATGTATACACACATTATCCTAATGGTAACCGGTATTCTTAATCGCATCATCTCATTCCTCCTTCTTCTCTCTTACTACTTTTCACGTTGATGGATTTTTCCTTTCTTTATCTTCGATTTTATTGCCTTGTTTCTTGGTGTACTGATGTGGCGAGGTATGCTAACTTGAGATGTTATGGAGTAATGTCTGGTCCTATGTTAGTCTTGATGATGATGACTTATTGAGATACTCCGTTTCACTGTAGAGTGTTTACACTCCTCAGCAAACACCATAATTTATTCGATTGAAGATTATGAAGATCAGAGGAAAACTGGTCCGACACTCGTTAAAAGGAATACTTTGTTGTCATTGGAGAAAAAGGTAATAAATAACTAAACAGTTGAAGAAACCATAGATGTCGGTATTCAAGTTGAAAGCCTCGTATGTTGAAATTTAAGACGAAATTGATACTGTGCAAGTCTTCGATTATTACCAAAGAGTCTTTTTGGTATAATTGCTTTTATATCATACTGTTGTTGATTGTACCGAATTGATTGGTCTCTATTGGCTTATAAGCTCCTGTGCGGATGCCTCGATATTACCTGTGTCCTAATTGTATTAATGATGGATCGTGTCTAGCAGTGGAATCCAGGATGCTCATTTCGTCTTATTTGTGCCTCGTCAGCCGGATGTACCTGGCATTTGAGGCGATTGCTCCTGAGTCCAAATCCTGGTGGGAACAACATCACTCACTGAGAAGTAGGTATATCCAGCTGACGAGTTGCATATAGGACGAAACGCGCATCATGGATTACACTGCAAGCCATGATCCATCATTAAAGAGTCTTTTTGTTACATGGTTGTGAGATATAACTTTTAGCTGTACGACGATGTCCGAGTAATGGATTTATTCAATCGATGAGAAGTCTGTTCGTATGCATTGACATTTGCTATTGAATGTTGGGCTCAATCATCTTTTCTATCTGTTTATAGGGGGTTTTGTCAAAGGCATGTATATACATTGAACCTATTCATTAGGCTTACTATAGTAGACATAAGTAATTCGAGGCGAACAGATTGCTTGGGTTTAAAGACTGAAGGTGATGACGTTATAGAAGCTACTATTCTGGGAGTCATAGATTATACTGTATATGAGTAAATGGCTAAATTATACCTTTTCATGTATTCCCTTTTAAGACTTATTCAACTGACATTTGTTGTAACGGTAAGTTATGTGAAAACATCAACACTGACTAGTGACATGTAGGTTAACTGCCAACTTGACTTGATAACCTAACTGAATACTTAGCTCACAACAGACATCTCATAACTTCTTGTGATAAGTTGCATCTAGTATTTCACAGGTTTTCTTGCCTTAAAGTGTTACCTATTCCACTATATGACCTATCTTGGTCGATAAAGTTATACCACCAAGCTGATTTGGTTACCCCTTTCCTCATGGAGCAAATTACGCCTCATTACTAGTTTGATGTTGTTAGCATATATAAACAATATTACAAGAAACGAACTCACTGTACGATCGTATATCAGCCGGTAAGAGATTATCACGTTATTTTATGTCAGAGATATCCGCTAATTGTATATGCACCTCACTGATAATAGTAAAAACTTCTGTTTGCATATGCTTCCAGTTATTATTGTCCTTCTAATGAATTTTGTGAGAAGTGTTGAGTAAATTCATACAAGTTTATGCACTCAGTAATGAACTACACAATATATAAAGTAGATGAGATCGATTCAAACTTGTAAACCATGGCTTAGAAGTCAAAAGCCTCAATAAATCAAGCACTATAACTTGTTTGCTTATAGCAAAATCACCATAAGAACAATGTTGAGGTTAGGTGAAGGGTACTGGGCAAATGAGTAGAGAAGGATGTAAACCTTCATCGACTGAGGTGGCTTGGACATGTGTTGCGCATCCCCACGTACTGCTGACCTCAACGTTTAATGCTAGGGGAAGTTGGATGAGGTTACATCAAGGCTCAGGGTGGCCACATCATGATATTACATCACTTCATGAAGTCGGTAAACTCATACGAGTCCACGATACGATAGGAATCAGTAGTTGTGAGAACTCCTAATGACATAGCTAGAAAATTGATCACAATGACGTAAATGTATTCAGTCTTTGACTTCATCTAAAGCTTAAATAATAAGTAAATAAATAAATTTTCATCTCCTTATCAAATAAATAGTTTTCATTATTTTCAAGTTGAAATTTTATTTTTTCAAATTATCTCAGATTGCCTCCACACATCCAAAGATATCCGATATAATATGTGAATTAGATCAAGTGATTATCAATTTATTGCAAAGAAATGAACAATTATGGAAATTTTTTGGATGTCAGCTGGCTAGTTATCTTTTTTGTTTACATTGTCGATTAATAACAACAATGAGCCATTTATATACTCTATCGAATCGAAAAAAAGTTGTCTACTCTGGAGTTTTTGATTCACTTCAACAATCTATCCGTTTTCGGGTTTACTGTCATCTTTTTATTCAATGCTATAATAACTTAAAGCAAAATGTAAGTGATTCTATTTTCATATGAATGAAAAGTTTTTATTTGATAAAGTTGATAATGTTATGAAGAGAAAGCATAGACATGTGATTAATTATTTTGCTTGAGCATTCAATTATGGAGGAACAAATGATGTGTTTGCATTCTTCTGAACCTACTTGGCTTTGAGCAACTGGGTAATTGCATAAGTCTTCACATAATAAGTGCCTCTTGTCCATTACTGATTAGAGTTGTCTATAGAATTCCTCCTTCTCTTGGTTTGCATTATTTGTAGGTGCATAGTGTAGCATTGTATGATTGTGACTTTCCTTCCTTTTGATTTGAATCTTGCTATCATGATCCTGATCGTTGAAGAGATTGGTTCCCACTGCATGAGACCCTTTGATGCTGTTAGGGACATCATATTAGCCACTCCGTCAGTGTTCTCGTGGTTATCTTCTGGGTGACAATATCGGAGTAGATTATTGACTCTCCAGTTAACACTTTTGAGATTCCACTTCCATTCCGTTTGCTTTCGCAGGTTCCTACCCTGGCACATCTATGCTATGCCTTCTCATTTCTTTTGACATCCGGGAAGGCTTGCTAGGCAGCTTTAAACATTGTACGGCGATTCTGTGTCCCTATGTTTACCTTTGCTTTCATCGAGAGAAGAGAAGACATATCGGCCAATTGACTTCTCGATTCCAGCAAGGAATAACTTTCTTTTTATTTTTTATATTTTATCTGAGCTTTGAAGTTTCTTTAGCGATTGGATTAGTTTTACGGGGTAGGGTTGCTAGCCTCACACCCAACTTTTCCTCTTCATCCGAGCTTAGGACCAGCTAGTAAACTAGTGAACTAGCAACTGGATTTGTTCTAGCATACTCAATGAATTGTTCCTAAACAAGAATCTTCAGTTACGTAATTTCTGTTTATTTCTGATAGTAGTAGAGGTTTACTTTTCATTCATTATCTTCATATAATGTGAATCTATCATATTGGAAGTGTGACATCCTTCACATTCAATTTACCATTGCAATAATTTGAATGTATACTCAAGGTGTGAGAAACGTTCTGGTTTAAAGCGTGAATGAGGTGTTTTCTATATTACTGTTTTGTTTGACGTTGGTCTTTCAAAAACTATTTCAGACTTCACTGTTTTCACTGTAGACTATGCTTATAATCGACATTTAGGGATGTGTGAACGCAGTATGTATAGTATATAATACTTGCCATATTTCATAGTCTTTACTATGGCGCTTTGTTTACACTGTAGGACTAGAAAAGAACAACATGGCTCAAGAACAAGTGACCATGTTGAAAGTGTGATTCCATATTTTTTTGAATCGACTAAATTGAATTGTGCTGACAATTCAAGTGAATCATAAGCAACCTAGATTTTTTATAGAAATGGTTACACTACTTATAAGTAGTGTAATTATTTATTAAGAATTATTGCGGATAGACACATGCTCATAGTTCATACTAGCTAGGTAGGAAATTTACGAACTGTTTTATATGGTATTCATGATATTCATTTCCATGTTTATTTTTTCTACCTTTTTAACAGCGTACCTTCAAGATTTTATCGAAGAATCGAGCAAATTTAATTCTCGTTACTATGATGTATCTTAAAGATAATCAATACACATGTTCATTGAGTTATTCACGAGGAAGTCATCCATGGCTGTATTGTTTCCCGTATTTTACGAATGAAAGTACTCACTTTCATATTCCTTGCAAGGGTTATTACCTGAAGGAGTTAATTGATTTTCATCCTGTATCATACAGTTTTGATTCAAGTTTATTCAGTGTTATCAAAGAGTCGCTAGTATATCCTTGTACAATGAAAAATATGATTGTAAATAATAAGGTTATATCAAATAATAAGTGGTCTGAGAAATACCGGAAGAATTGTACAGAGTTGGAGATTTTACAAGGTTCTTCCGTTGGTGGTTATATTCCAGCTTGGTTCCAAGAGGAGCATGATGATCGAGTATTGGGTCATGGTTTGATAGATGAAGGACTAATTCTACTAGATGGTTAGTCAATACACTTTTAACTGGTTTTCTGTTTAAAAAAACTAAATTTGTTGTCGTAAAGTTCATGCAATTTAAGTTCTTTTTAAAGGTTGCAAGTTGTCTTAAGAATTGTAGTGGTTACCGTTATAGTGTTTGGAACGAGGTGTACTGGGTTCAAGCCTCGGTTGGAACAGTATCACTCACTGAGGTACAGATACATCTAGCTGACGGGTCCGAAATAGGACGAAACGCGCATCATGGACTCTTCTATTAGTCACCAAGATCAATACAACATTGAGATTGGGATTCGAACTCGGGACCGATCGCTTCAAACGTCAGTGTTATCCACTAAATTACGATGGCCACTTCTTGTGCACTTCAAGGCATCTGCACAGGAGCCCATATGCCAATGGCGATAGATCAATTTGGTTCAATCAACGACGGGATACTACAAACAACATATTGATGTCCTCCGAATAATCCCGAACGATAGCTGTTACCTTGACGTGGTGGTCGGGCTTACATATCACAATTACCCAACGAGCTACGCTGGTGAAACACTTGTTTCCTCGAGGTCCTACCATACCAGAAAGGTCTGTTGGATAGTGGTTAGACGAAAAGCAGTTACCGTTGTGGTGTAAATTACTGCACTATAATGGGGGTCTGAGGGCGAAGTCGTACTGCTGCTAACTGGATGGGGTGTGACAGCAGTAAGGTATTTCCCTTAGATGACCCCGCCCCCAGTGAAACAGGGGGGGGGGGGGTTAGAAAAGGTCGGCCCCCAAAATAACACTCCACTATACCTCACGGTCTGCCGGATAGGCTGTGTTGGCTCATTTGTCGTTTCCTTTCTACCATCCGGCCCCAAAAATACAAAAGTTCAAAATAATCATACTCGAAAAGCTACGTGTGACAGGCCTCAAGCAGATGTCCGATTGGTTGTGCGGCCACACAAATCTCTTTCAGGTACCTCAAGAAGAGATAGCCTTCCACGGTGTAGGCAGACAGGAAGTGCCAACCGCCCTCACGACTCTGTCAGCACTCAAGTTTCTTCTGACTGCTATCCATCTCCTCCATCATTACCTTCTAATCTTCCTTCACGTCTCTCAACTAACGATACTACATCATCTTCAATTTCTCGTAGCTCTGTAGCCTTCGACAACGATCTGAGTCGACAGAACAGCATCCTTGGTCACCTTAAACCACGCTCCGAATTACATATTGGAGCCTTCAATGTCCGCACCCTCCATCAAATTGGTCAACAGGCTTCGTTGGCCAAAACTATAGCAACTCGAGCCATGGATGTGTGATGTGTTTGTGAGACTCGCATACAAGAACCAAGTGCGGTTATTCACCTGACTTCTCCCGATCAATCTGGTGAATCCACAAAATTCACCCTCCAAGTCTCTGGAGATTCGATAGCTAGCTCTTGTGGTCTTGCAGATGTAAGGATAGCATTAAGTACTAGGGCAGAAAACTCACTACTAGACTGAGTGGGTCCCAGTTGATAGTCTCCTTTGAATAATCTGTTATACGCTCTGCAGTTTAAGTTACGTAAGAAAATGTAGAAATATGGTTTAACTTTACCTGATACATATTTATCCATTTAGCTATGTCACATTTGTGTGAGGGTCTTTAGAATACTAACCAGTTACTCAGGATAAGGTAGATGGAGCGTGCTTTGATTCTGGGACTGATTGACTGAGTTACATCTCTAAAAAAAATACTCCAAATGCACTCGATACTAATGTTTATGTACTCAGATATAGGTGACACATATCAATTTCCAGGCTGCAATCTGTTTTTGAGAGTAAAAATGGACAAGGTGGAGAAACGTTAGTGGATGTAGTTCAAAATCGATATCTGTGATGTAGATGTATCCGTATAGTGTGTTAACCATCATATCACATTTCGTTGTTCACCTTAATTCTTGTTCCCTATATATACACCTGATATAACTTCAACTGTATATATATGTACGGATGCTTGAAGAATAACCTTCAGAATCCCACCCCTTAATATTCACTTAGTTTTCTTGATAAATGAAAAGGGTGGTAATATAACGAAAGTGTATTGCATTGCCAAAAATATGTACAAAGTACAAGGCTTTATATATATTTACAATAACCTTGACTATTTTCTTATTGATTTATCCTCTTCAAGCAATCTAATATTCACACATTGATTCTCGTATTTTTCTTGAAACTTCCGGGCAAAACGATTGGTTGTAACAGACTTCAGAGATTGAGAGGCTTTCTATACAGATCATGACAATCTTAATCCGGATTATAACAATCTTTTGTCTTATTGCCTTTCATTTTGAATTTGTTGATCACTCCGCTTATTTGAAGAGTTGCATCAGTTCGAATACAGAAAAACGTATTTGTCATTTTAGATTGAGATTTATCATGGACTGACATCGATCCCTGGCGGGATCATGGGTGCGTACTGCTGAGGAGTCCCATACTAAGATGAAACAGCTGTTTAGTGCTCCCAGGTTTCCAACGATCATCCAACTTGTGCCAGTCCATAATGAATTCCAACCTGAAGTCAATTAATAAACCTCCACAAAACCTCTAGATAGCACTTGTCATTTGCCAACTTGTATCATCTCTGGCGCTATATGGCAAGATATTCGACCACCTATCAATGAAGGAGCATACTTCGCTGCAGTCCATTCTTTCATATTATACGGTTGAAACACAGCTGTTGAATATAGATGTGAAGCGATGATTGGTTTCAGAACATAAGTATCTTCGTAACATGGATCACCATATGATTAGTGTCGAGTTTAGGCTAAGGGTATTAGTCAGCTCAGTCAATGAGGTTGCAAATTTTTGTCGGTCGAAGTGACTTGGACCTGTTTCGCTACCTACCTCAACATGCGATGTTTACAGAAGGGGGACTGATTTGGAAAAAAAACTATTTGTGACCAAACCAAAATGCAGCATCACTCCGCAAAGTCTTTGACTTATGGTCTGAGCTGTGTAAGAAGTTGTAGGCTTCGTGATTGAAAACGTATGATGAAATGGCTCCAAGTTGCTGACAATGGTACTGTTGTATTCGCTCTCTGTGATCGGGCTTTAAACATTTTCATAGAGGTTTGTTTACTACACTACGATGGGGGGTCTGAGAGCGAAGTCGTACTGTTGGCTGGCAGGATGCGGAACGACATCAATGACAGGTGTTTACTTTGGATGACCAATAGTGCCACATTGATTCTGCCTTCCCTTTTGGATGAGTGGGTTGAAAAAGGTCAGCCTTAAAAAAATAGCGCACTCCACCTTGCCCTATGGTCTCCCAGTGTCGGTGGTATCGGCCCTCTGTAGCCGGCATTATAGCAACTAGACGTCAAAACAACAACCCGCCGAAGACTTTGCAACAAGACTCAAGCAGAGATGTTCCATAGGCTTTCTTTGAGGAACTTTAAAAAGAAATTATCTTCTATGATATGGGTAGCCGGGAAGTTTCAATCGCGCATACACTTCCAGTAGTACACGTTATCAGTCATTGGCTGGTCCAAATACGCTATAATTCATTAGTTTCTATTCTGTTTCATTTTTATCCATGATAAATTACTTAAGAATATTCATGTTACATCTTAGTTGGAACTTTTATTTTCTAATAATTAATTTCTTTGCTGTTTGTTGATTTGTGTTTTTTTTATTATCATCTGTTGCAGAAGTTTATCGCTAAATCTTCGTTCCATTGCAACATCCATAATCAATCTTTTTAAATCAGTGATGCGTTTTGTACAGAGTTATTATACAGCAGGATTTTAGTGTTAAACGGTGGGAGTCAGTCAGCTTACCGGTTGGATACTGGGAGTAATTGATCAAGAAAGCTTGTTTACCACAAATCCCGGTGATATGTATTAACAAGCATGAAACCTAAGTGAAATACTTTTTGCCTATTGATTCCAACCATCTGCCACCAAAATACGGTGTCCTGCGGTGTCGCACTACTTAGATTAGTAATATTTATTATTATTTGTCCATTAGGTTCCTAATGGAACATAGGGCTTCAGTAGCACGTCTTCAATGCGCTTTGTTCTCGAAAATCTTTTGAACCTGGCTTCACGACAGCCCACAACCTCTCATTTCTTCCTCGCACGATCTTCTCCATGTCATCTACACCTCGGATGCCCAACTCGTCGTTTCCCATCTGGGTTCCACTCGACACCCTGGCCTGATGCATGATGTCACCAGTCGGTCTTCTCACTGCATGCCCAGTCCAATCCATCTCCACTTCCTTCCAGTGTATATTTGTTGAGCGATAGCTTCTTGGTTGGTTCGTTCCTAGAGTTCCTTCAAGCTGATTCTTTCTCGCCATCTGTACTTCAGTAACGGGTCAGTGTAAGCAGTTGTTGATGAATGTCTGTGGCTTGTTGGAAATGCCTTGTGTAACGCGCCAAGTCTCTCAACCATATAGGAGCACTGAATTGACTGGGTTGGTGTCGAAAATCAGGATGTTGTTCCACATGCTGAGTGCAAAAGATCTCCACACTGGTTTCGGACTAATGAACGCCTGTCTGGCTTTTCCGATTCTGACTTTGACATCCTTGTCTGTGCCGCCGCCGCCGCAGCCACCACCTGTAGTTGAAACAGTGCTGACTAGATAGGTGAAGGAGGCTACTTCCTTCAAGTTTCTCCCATTGATGGTGATTGGAGCTTGGTGTTGCTGTTGGTTAGGTATCTTCATCACCTCTGTCTTCTCTACGCTCACTTGAAGTCCCGTCTTCGCTGCCCTGCCTCTTCTGTCAACTTGTTAGTAGATTAGTAATAACCATGATATAATTCTTGGTAGATAGGTAGACTTTGATCAATGCTAAGAGCAAAGGACTAACCAAGTACTCACTAATGAGCAACTTGGATAAAGTAGAATTTTCTTAACTTGATGGCTTTACCAGTTGTTCTCTGTTAGAAAGATTCAGATCCTGTATGACTAATTATTGAACTCAATTTGCTTGAATCATTCAATCACATTTCATTTCATTGTTTCTTAAAACATTTCTTAAACTATCTTTTAGAATTAATGGAACATCCAAATGAAGAGACATTAAGTAGTTTGTACTACTTTCTGCGTAGTTTACGTGTTCTTCTAGAGACAAAACAACCTGGTTTTTTCATATCATATTCCGGTGTGAAACATCATTCTTCAGGCTGGAAACTGGATATAAATAATATGTGAGTATGGTTTTATCGTATCAGTGCGTATCATTAGCGTTTTAACGTCTGTTTTCTATTAGTGTAAACCACTATATATAGTGGGCAGGAGGGAGGTTTCCTATGGTGAAGTCGAACTGCCGGCTGGTCTGAAATATGACCAGAAGTGGTGTTGGAAGGCTTCAGACTCTCATAAAATGTTGTTTATCAATTTAAACATTTTTAAGTTGTCATTTTAGCGCCATTTTCATGGTATGGCCAGTTGTTCACCCCCCCCCCCATTTTCAAGATAATTCGCTGATTGATTGTGCTTACTTTTACTAGGTTTCAGATTCTGGAAAAGGTCATATGTCATATATATGCGTGTTTTTGGGTTAATTGACTATTCTTCTCGGAGGAATAAACTCTCCAACCCAGTTTAGTCTCCTGGTTTATTTCTTGCTGGTTGAAGTCGTTGGATCTTGCGTACAAAGTTAGCTATCAGTCAAGCGTGTGCATTATATCCTCTCGGAATATATTACAGATGTCATGTGGATGTTGGCTTCTTTGTGAAGAGGAGTGAGGTTAGAAAAGGTTGCTCCACCTGTGACCAGCTTCAGACAGGTATCCTATGGGTTCTGTTGAATCAAAATGCACTCAGCAGCCTTGTGCACATTCGTGCAGTAGGGAATAAGCTACAAGTATTGTATGAGGGCTTATGATACTACCTCTGTAGATGGAGTGGGCCTCAAACCAATGGGCTCTGTTGCCATTCACCACTGTTGCTAATACAATTTTTCTTCTAAGTACCCGAATACAAGATACGCTGTCACGGTGTGGATAGTAGGGATGTGTCAACCGTTTCCACAACTCTGTCACTACTTAAGTGCCGACATCAGATCAAATCGAACAAGTCGAAAATCAAGAATTATAATCATATCAATACGAAATAACTATTAAAGGATATAGAATGATAGGAAGCATTGAGTAGAAGTATGCGCTACTAAGTACATAGATGCCTTTGAGGTCCGTGGGACATGAGAAACCATTGGTCGGAGACTGTAGGTGATATGGCTCAGAACCGTTGTCAGTGTCGCAGATGTATACACACATTATTTCTCATCTTAACGACCCTATACTGGATCTCACCATTTTCTCATTCTCCCTTCCTCTCTTTGAGTACTGTATATTTCTTTCGACTGAATTTTCTTTTCTTCATCTTCTAGTTCACTACCTTTTTACTTGATGTACTGATATGAGATGAAGTGTGACAACTCGAAGGGTTACGCAGTAATGCTTGTTCTTGTGTTGATTTGAATGGATGGATACACACTGATGCCATGTATTTTTCTCGTACTGGTATCGATCTTGTGCAAATAACAAATCCTGTCGCATCAAGTAGCCTTCATCTAGTATTATTTCTAAGGGGAAGAAGAACTATTGAAAATATCTGTTCCCTCCTAGTTTAGGATTCTTCAATAATGCACACCGATCAACTTGTAAGGGATCAAAGCTGTCTGTTAGATGTGTCAGGCCATTCAACCTAGTTATAATATCATTAAATTTTCTTTTCTAAATCTGTTTTTATCTATAGTTAAGTTAAATATTTCCTCTTTTATTTTATTTTAGCACACCAGATCTATCTGCATCATTGGAACGTTTCTTGATAAAATTTTATTCACTATATCCATTACAATTATCCACTAACTCATCGTCTTTAACAACATCATTTACACAAATTAATAATCATAAACAGAAAGGGAATAATAAATATTCATTCCTGTTAACTTCATCCAATGGACAGAAATCTGTTAATTTGACAAGAAAACAATTTAAACAAGAACGTAAACGAAGAAATAAACAGTTGAAACGTCATATGACAAGTGTTGCTGGTGCTTCTACTGACTCTTGTCCTAATAATGGTCCGTCAACTATAACAATCAGTTCAGCTGACTCTTCGATCAATGGTATATATGTTAAATAATATTTTTCAGTTTAATTTTCATTGAAAAAGTGAATAATCCACGAGTATTTTTTATATCGACCAAGAATGTCGAAGGAATGTACAATACCTGTTTACTAGGTTGATCTTATGAATGGGATCTTCGAAGGAGATGTTAATTATGATAAAATGTCAGCCTACTTCACCTCATCGTTCTCCTCCTCCTATTCATCATCATCACCATCACCATCAACAACAACAACACGCATCATATATCAGCATATCAATAGCAATACACCACGATGAAATGATCCAGAAATAAAGAAGAAAACCGTTCAAAGTGGGGAAACAGGTCGTGAAAAGAGAAGAATAGGGAATAGGAAAATATTGAATTCAGTATGATGATTAATATGACGAATAATATGTGGATACATCTGCACCGTTGAGATCGATTTTAAGCCGTGTCATCTAAAGTCTCCAACTAATGATTTCTGTTGTCATGTGAACCCTAACCGGCAAGTCTAAATTATTTCGTTACATGGCTAAGATCAACAATCAATGATTGCATAGATTCATGCTATATTCTTGTTTGACGGTCCCAAACTTTCTTCCAATAAGAACTTATTCGACTGGGCGAACGGTGACTGGAAATGCGTAACACGTGTCTCAGCCACCTGAGTCGATAAGCTTTCACAACCTTATCAACTAACTTAAAAGGAAAGACGAAAGGGTGAATCGCAGGAGAATATGGGTTATCCTAGTGGGACCATAGATAACGTAAATTGACGAAAGATAAATGAGCTTATTGTATCCGAGGAGAGATTTCGTCGACCACTAACCCACGAGGGCTGATCCAACTTCCCCAACTAACAATAGAGAGGGAAGTGGTGGAGTACGTTAAACACTTCACTTACGTGGGAAGTCGGATCTGCCCTGGTGGGTCGGTGGTCGATGAAATCTCTACTCGGATACAAAAAGCTCATTTGTCTTTTGCCAACTGACGTCATCTGCTGCGCCGCAGCGATATCCGATTGTCCGTTAAGGTTAGGGTATACTGTGCTGCAGTTCGCTCTGCTCTACTGTATTGCTGTAAAACATAGCCATTAAAGGTAGAAGACATGAGAAGGCTTCAGGTGTTTGACCACTTCTGGCTTGGCAGTATAGGCCATGTTTTGTGGTATCACCTCGTGAGTAACGCAAAAGTCAGGTGTAGAGTTTTAGAGAGGAGAGGTAAGTCAGTTGACATGGTTGTGAACCTTCATCGACTGAGATGGTTGGGAAATGTGTTACATATGCCTAACCACCATCTGTCTCGTAGCACAAAGGCTGTAGGTGGCCAGACTAAAACACGACATGAATGTATGAAGTGTTTGACTGTTGGTTTGAGCCATGTGGGGCGATGCAGAGTAGGTAGTTGGGGTCCACAGGACACGAGGAACCAGTGGTTGGAGACGGACTCTTGGTGATATGGCTGGGAATTGATGTGAGTGGCGCAGATGTATACACACATTATCCTAATGGTAACCGGTATGCTTAATCGTGTCATCTCATTCCTCCTTCTTCTCTTTTACTACTTTTCACGTTGATGGATTTTTCCTTTCTTTATCTTCCATTTTATTGCCTTGTTTCTTGATGTACTGATATAAGATGTCGCAACTTGAACCGTTACGCAGTAATACCTTGTCCTATGTTGATCTTGATGTTGAATGATAATGATGATAATGATCTGACATCCTACTTTGCCTACTTCTGCTTACACAAACTGAGTAGTATCCGAAGCCTGTCACACGATAGGTGTTTCTCATACGTAGCTTAGTATATGAGTGAGCTGTTCCTGGTTGGATTACACATTTATTTATTGAACTGTGCACTATAATTATGTGAATATTTTTTAGGAGTTAGCGAGTATTTCCAAACTTTTCAGTTGAAAGTTAGTGGGAATTGGTTTCAATCCATCTTTCAGTGGTTATAAGTTATCATCTTTAACCACTGAGATACAACTATACATGTTACCACCGGCGGTAAATCCTGAAAATCTTAATTAATGTCTCATTCGCTTCTACAGACTGCAGTCACTTTTCTATTCTTTCAGCATGTGAAATTCCATATATGTTACTGTTTTCTACCCTGGAGTCAAACAAGTGATTGATTCATGTGTTGTCAACGTGTACCTCATCCTTGAGTATTCTTCTAGTTGCATATTCGTTTGCACCAGATTCAGGAAAACAGGTATACTTACTGACTAGTGGCCGACGCTTGCCATATTTGTTAACCTGAAGGTGACATTTGACTCTGTTGGTCGTGAAGTGTTTTGTCAACGTCTGACTGAAACGACTACCAAGCAATTATCTAATACTTATCAAAGCTGTCTACTCGAACTGACACACCCGTGTAAGGGCTAATGGAGAGTAGTTATCACAACTGACGACAATTAGTGGCATCCGTCAGGTATGGTCGATGTCACTGTTTGTATTTAACTTCGTTATAGATGTACTAATGGGTATAACCTTAGGTATCTCTTGCTTCTCAAGGATTGATGTACTGCGTGAACGTCATTTGGCTAACTTGGAGTATGCAGATGATATCGTCCTGCTAGGTAAACACACTGACAAAATACGCTACCAATTTAGTGATATGGAGTAAGGTGGTGGAATGTGTCTACCATAGTTTTTAATTGTCACCAAAACTTATTGTAATAATTTTTCTTCTATACAAATATACACTATTGTCTCCCCTTTTCCGTGAATTAGATAGCTCACAAATATCAACGTGAGTTACAGTTTAATTTAAGCTAAATGCTGATTTTTCCCTCTGTTAAATAAGTAATCAAAATCCTAGGTTGGTAACTTAAAATCCGCTCCTTCTACAGAGTTTTGGCCAGTTAGGTAGTGTTATTAACCTGCACAAGATAGGTGTGACTTATTGCTTAGTGCATAAATACGCACACAGAACTCTGATGCACTGATGAGATAATGTCTATCATAGCATTGGAATGTTTGCCAACTAGAACACTGACTCAGACAACAACTCAATTTGAACAGAGTTTAGTTCTTTGATTTAAATGGTCGGTAGTGACTAGCAGTGGGATCTATGACACGCGTTTCGTCCTGCTTTGGACTCATCAGCTAGGTATACCTGCTTCACAATGAATGGTATTGTTCTCATTCATGTTGTCACTTCCACTTCCAACCAACATTCATCATTAAACATTTAACTTGAAAATACCGGCAGTATTGAGGCGTTTAGACAGAAGCCTATATGTAAATAGTGACTGTTGAATTCCTTCGAATCAACAATGGTGATTCATAACGTATATCATCAAATCTAAAGTTCATTGCGTTGTGATAATTTATGCATACTATAAAATCTACTGTTGTTTTACTATGCTGTTTTTTTTCTTGTTTCAATAGTAAATCATAATCCCTCTATAAAGGTTAATTCAAACAATCAAGTTTTATATTGGATTCATCTAATCAACCAATCAGCTTTCGAGTTGTTTACATACATTGAATACTATTCAATTAGATGTTTAGAAGTAAATTGCCGATCTCCGTTTTCATGGCCACCGCCTGAAGATACACAGGAACGTTTAGTTAAGATTTTATTTGATCAATTATCTCAAATGACATTAATGTCGACTACACAACTAGCAAACATTCATTATGATATTAGTTGTTGGCTTCGTGCATTCGATTTGTACTTATTGGCACCTTATCGTTTCAAATGGAATGTAGAGTAAGTTTTTTTGATAATCATATTAATTAGTTTAAGCAAGAAAAGTTGAATTGTTTGAATAACATGTGTTATAATAGGTTTGAATTCATAATGGGAAGCTCGGTGATGCTTTTGAAGTGAAGACAGGAGTGAAACAAGGCTGTCGACTACTATCACCAATCATCTTCCTGATTGTGGTCGACTGGATCATGCAACAAACAGTGAGGAGCGAGAAGAGGGGAATGCTCTGGACTACAGAAAAGAACCTAGAAGATTTGGATTTCGCCGATGACTTGTGTCTGATGTCTCGTCACACAAACTTGAAGATCTACAGGCGAAAACTAACAAGTTGTTAGAAGAGGCGAGGCAGCGAAGACGGGACTTCAAGTGAGCGTAGAGAAGACAGAGGTGATGAAGATACCTAACCAACAACAGCATCAACAACAACAAGCTCCAGTCACCACCAACGGGAGAAACTTGAAGGAAGTAGCCTCCTTCACCTATCTAGACAGCACTGTTTCAACTACAGGTGGCGGCGGCGGCGGCGGCGGCACAGACAAGGATATCAAAGTCAGAATCGGAAAAGCCAGACAGGCGTTCATTAGTCCGAAACCAGTGTGGAGATCTTTGAACTCAGCATGTGGAACAACATCCTGATTTTCGACACCAACCCAGTCAATTCAGTGCTCCTATATGGTTGAGAGACTTGGCGCGTTACACAAGGCATTTCCAACAAGCCACAGACATTCATCAACAACTGTCTACACTGACTCGTTACTGAAGCTCAGATGGCTAGAAAGAATCAGCTTGAAGGAACTCTAGGAACGAACCAACCAAGAAGCTATCGTTCAACAAATATACACTGGAAGGAAGTGGAGATGGATTGGACTCGGCATGCAGTGAGAAGACTGACTGGGGACATCATGCGTCAGGCCAGGGTGTTGAGTGGAACCCCGATTGGAAGCGAGGAGTTGGGCATCCGAGGTGTAGGTGACATGGAGAAGATCGTGCAAGGAAGAAATGAGAGGTTGTGGGCTGTCGTGAAGCCAGGTTCAAAAGATTTTCGAGAACAAAGCGCATTGAAGACGTGCTACTGAAGCCCTATGTTCCATTAGGAACCCAATGGAGAAATAATAAATAATAACAATAAGTTTGAGCAGTTCAGTTATTTAGTATTTTCTTTTCTTATGCATTACATTAAATTGTAAGTTGACAAACGGATAGACAGGCGAAATCAACACAAGTACATCAGCTCATGTTGTCACACTTCACTATAGTATATACAAAGCACATGGATAAAAAACGAGCTATGTCAAAGTAGACAAAGTTGTATGAGAGAAGAATAAACAATCTGAAGATAACAGTTAGCGTGAATATTCAAGCTTTAGAATAAGCCAGAGAGTGAATACATCTACTCCACAGAGACCAACTTTCAGCCATATCACCATAGGTCCTCAGCTACTTGTTTCTATTATTTTTGGTCACCCTAGCCAACCAGCTGATCTACATTGCATTGACACCACGTGTTCGTCTAACCATCTTAGATCCTTTTTCAACTTAATCCGCTTTCTCCTAGCATAGCACATCAAGGTAGTTGTTGGATCGACATGAACAATACCATGTTCAAGCCATCTCAGTCGATGAAGGTTCATAAATTCATCAGTCGACTTGCCTATTTCACCTCTAGTACTGTTCGCCTGACTTCAACAATGCTAACACGGTGATTCCACCAAACGCGAGTAATGCTAAGAAGACATTTATGATCAAAACTTTGTAACCACTTCACCTCGTCTACTTTTAATGACGGTGCTTCACAGTGGTAACACAGGACAGAACGGGCTACAGCTCAGTATCCAAGATGACGTTAATATTTTATCTGGTGATCTTTTAAGGGATCTACTGTCTGAATTTTTAAGCCAGGTTTTTTTGTGTAAATATCATTTTTTTCAGTATATTTCTCAGGAATTTACATTTAATTCGAAGAAATACTGACTTAACATGATGTACAAACTATAGACTATATATTTAGACTGAGAGCAGATACTGACCCAGTAGCTCAATGGTAACATGCTAGTCAAGGAACCTGGAGGCTCTAGGTTCGATTATGAATTCATGAAGAAAAGAATAGGTAGAACGCTGGAATTACTAGGTTGTATAAGTTGAAGCCGAGTTATACCAGAAAGCCTCAGTTTCTCTATGTTATAGGTTAAACGAAAGATTTTTTAATAAATCAACAAGATATGAGACGACCAACAAAGAACAGAAGTTAATCTTAATCGAAGATAGTTAATACTCGATTTATTTTTTGTACAAATACCATCAATGCTGCAACAGGCGTCATAACACTTAAACAACTCACACAAGTCTTATCTTCATCTCAGGCTAAAATTAACAGTCTGACATTTAGTGAAGGCTTTATTTAACTTGAGACCATTTCAGATTGTCTATTGGTCAATGGGAGACAAGAATGCATATAATTGAGAGCAATGTAAGTGAGAGTTGAGTGGAATAGAAACCATCAGGTGATCCATATACTCAATGAAATTAGTTTCGACAGAATGATTTAAATCATGAGAAAATAAGGAGAAGAGAAACGGAGAAAGGTACTGTGGTTTGAGTGAGGCATGTCAGCTTCAGTAAGCAATGAAGTGGAGCGCCTTCCTTCCTTTCAAAGTTAAACGCTAACTTGGTATACGCTATCACTTAATTTACAAACAAATTAAAAGTTGTGCAATTTCAAGTCTTTATCATACTTTGAAAAAAAAAGAAGACTGTTTTGAAGTTGAATATGCTACAAAATTACCTATCAGTTACTCTGAAGTAATTGTTATACTTCAAAGGTATGTTTATCATAAGATATATTTTTTCATAGTTAGCATTACATTGATTCATTTAAAGTTTTATATTTTACTCACTTTCCTCCTTTGTTGTTTCACTAGTAAATCAACTCGATTATTTATTCCATTGGTGTTAGTTTTCTTGGGAAAATTATTTCATCAACTTACTATCAATATTGTTGATAAAGATAAACCACTTAGTAAACGACAACATTATTTAATTGGTCGTTGTACTGGTTTATTAACTACCTTCTTAACAAAAGATCTTTTACTTAGTATGATGGAATATAACAAAATTGAATCAAAATTGAATGATGATGATGATGATGATGATATGAATGAATCTATCAATGAAGATTTTCAAGTCAATTGTCAAGGTGTAGACTATGATGAAATGTGGATATGGTAAGTGTGATTTTTCTTCTTATCCTTAATTCTAGTCATTCATACTCTTTATTTGTCTAAAATATATTCAACCAAGGTAAATTATTAGATTATTATTATTATTATTACCTGAAGATTGGGAAGTTTTAATATATTAGACAATGTTCAAATTATGAAAATATTAAAAAGCGAATATATCCTTGTCATTGTGACTGATTTTAGTCATCTCTAAGGATTTCTGCAACTATTGATTTCTGTTAGATGCATAACTCTAAACTAGTCAGTGTAGATGAATCATCGGAAGTTTTGTAAGCTGGTACCATGTCTTTGTCTAACCACCAGGAACACTTTATCATTTCAGTCATCATCATCATCATCATCATTAATATCAACATAGGACCAGGCATTATTGCGTAACGGTTCAAGTTGCCACAGTTCATATCAGTTGTCTAAAACACATTCAACCAAGGTAAATTATTCTACATTTCCATTGTATAATCATACTGATCCACATATTGAGATGTATTCATCTCTTAGTATATTTCTTTGATAAAATCTAGAGTTATGATTGAATATTGATCATTGAACTATAATAACTAAAGTTTCGGTGATAATTTTGAAAGTCTATGCTAAATGTGATGCTATTAGTAATCTAAAGGTAACTTATTTCATCAAAATAGTCCGATTGGACCATGAAAAATTAATGAAAAAGACAATCTAAGGGAGAAAAGTTTCTATTCAACAAATCATCTTAAAAAGTCGTACAATCATAATTATAGTTACAATGGATATGTGTCCATCATTAGATAATGGGTCAATTCAAGGTCATCACAAATTATCAATCGAATCACAAGGCGATTATAGCTGGAAGGTCAGCTCTAGGTGATCAAAACTTGTTTATAGGGTTACAATAATGAATCAATAGCTAAAATGCCTCAGGAAGATTTATAACCAAGCTAAAAATTAGAGATAGGAAATGCCTCTATTGAACACTGAGATCAGGCTTGAACAGATAAACTATCAAGACACTTCTGCTATGTTCAGGTGGTGAATCTGCACTCCAGTCGAACTATTTGAATAATCAGAGTTAACCGTATGCTCAAAAATGGATCATTTAGTCGCTTTGCACTCCCCCTTAGACACCCATGCTGGATTTGAATAGACCACGCTTTGTGCAACCCATGTAACCAGCTCCACAAGAGCAGGTGAATTGACAAACATACGGGGAAGTGGTCGAAAACGGTAATTTTTCGTTTAAACACCGAGTCAGTTGTTGACTAGGCAAAACAAACCAAAGGTCTTCTTCAGTGTGGCAGAATGTTTTTTCTCCTTAGGAGAAAATTGACCATGTTTTGAAAGTGAATTCAGAAAAATATCATCATTTGATCCATATTGTTACAACTGGTATATTCCTCTTGTACGTCTGTAGCTCTAACGGAGTCTTGAATAGGTAGTAGCTGCTTCTACCTTACGTTTAGCAAATATGTCATCCATATGCTCAAGCTCTGAAAATTCATCTCTAAATTCCCTATCCCATAACTTAATGTCTGCACAGCAGTCCGCTCTGTTCTACTCTATGGCTGTGAAATATGCCCATTGAAGGTGGAAGACAAGAGAAGGCTTCAGGTGTTTGATCACCGTTGCCTTCGTAGTATAGGACGTATTCCGTGGTGTCACGATGTAAGTAATGCAGAAGTCAGGCTGAGGCGTAGAGTTTTAGGGAGAAGAGGTAAGTCGGTTGACGAGGTTATGAACCTTCATGGACTGGAATGGTTGAGGTATGTGTTACGTGTGCTTAGTCGTGGATTGCCTCGTCACACAATGTTGGGGGAAGTAGGTGCAAGCTTGAAAAAGGCCTGAGGTGGCCAGACTAAAACATGGGGTCAATGTATGAAGTGTTTGACTGTTGGTCTGAGCCATATGGGACGATGCAAACTAGGTGGTTGGGGTTGGCGGGACAAGATGAACCATTGGTTGGAGACTGACTGTAGGTGATATGACTGAGAACCGATGTGAATGGCGCAGATGTACACACACATACACACACATTGTCCTCATCTTAACGATACTATACCGAATCTCACCGCTATCTCATTCTTCCTCTCTATCTCTCTTTTCATACTTTATATTTGTTTTGACTGAATTATGTTTTGTTGATCTTGCATCTGCCTGCCTTTTGTACTTGATATACTGAAATGAGATGATGTGTGGTGGCAACTCGGAGTGTTACGCAGTAATGCCTGATCATATGTTGATTTGTATGGGATAGATGGATCATGTCTGTCAATCTGATTTCGTCTTGGTTACGTATCTGGATAATATCTCCCGTGTTAAGTTGACAGATGCCTTCAGGGTAAAGCAATTCCACGTAGACAAACACACAAACAAACACCTTAATTGTGATGAATGAAAAAGATTTCTCGTATAATGGATTTGCTTATTCATTTGATAGCTCGATTACATGTGAAACTCGACCTTGACCAGTCTTCTGAAAACCTAGACTATTCCTGGTAGTAGTTGAACTATGGGCTTTAGGATTGAGAGTTCGAGGCCCACTGGATATAACTGATGTCTGAGTGGCCTACGTTTATCAATTTATCACTATCTAAATATATCAAATCCTTTTATTTATTTTTTATTTTATTGTATTTAGGGAAGAAGCTATCATATATCAATTTACCACATAATGAAATTAAACCGATCCATGGGTCAATATTTTCTAATTTGTTGAAATATTTAGTCCAGTTTTCTTTGAAAGAACCTCCACGTGTCTATTACTCTCCACCGTTATCTTCGCAAATGTTGAGTGAAATATGCAATCAATATCCAAGTTGTGACATTTCTATTGGCAATATCAAAGATATACAGATTGTTGATAGTACTTGGACAGCGTGTCTCCTTCAGTTGTACCATGTGAAAGTAAGAAATAATTTCAGTATACTTTATTCTTACAATGTTTAGTCTTAATATTATCTCAGGTAGGATAGACGCAACTCGAGTGTTGCATCATCTGGCTTATTGATCACATTGTTGACTTGTTCGTTAGACTTCAGTGAATGCTGAGCACTTGGGAAATAGACAGGCATATTGGTCGACTACTGATGATCAATTCGTGTACTCACTCCACTCGTTTATTGGTGAAATCTTAGTGATTCGTATTCTAGTCACAAAGGGGAATATCTATCGCCTTGTAGTCGTAGAAATGTATTGCTGACGAATGCTTGCTAGCAGGAAATCTACCTCCTATGCTAGCCACAACCAAGCAAATTATCATAATTAACATTCAGGCAATATCGAGGCATCCGCATAGGAGCCCATATGCCAACAGAGGTCGAAAAATTCCATCCAATGAAACAACGGAGAATTACAAGTACATCAATAAATAATAATATACATAAACCTTTGTTTTTTGTACATAATCCTAGACGTTCCAGTGCACCTTGAGTTATTTCATCGCCTCTTCTATTTATCGAGAAACTAAGCGATCATCAATAAGTGGAATCTGAAGTTCATTACCTTAATGTCCATACATTATATAATTAAGGTTGTACCAAGTAGTTACTACAAGAAAATGACAAGTGGCGACGGGGACTGGAGTTATAAAAATCTACCTGCTTTCTGATTACAAAATTGAATGCAAAATACGACTGAGTGAAATATAAAATGTGGTTGATCGTCAGTTGAACAACTTATATTGGGTGATTGAAAGTGAGATGAAAATCTGGACCGTGGCCGAATTCGAACCAGCTACCACCGGGTTAGCGGCCCGATACTCTACAGACTGAGCTACGAGGTCCGACAGCTGACCAGAATTTTATTTCACTTCAATCACTAAGGTGGATATAGTCCGGCTACCATGTCAATTTGTGACGTGTTACTACCGCTTGATCGTATTCATACTGGCTGCATAGTCAGGAATTCTCATCCCAATCTAGCTGAAGTAGACGGAAGGTGGAACATCATATTGATTAGCATTTGACTATCTGAGATGAACAACCTCGCCTGGTTCACTAGTTCACTAGTTACTAGCCGCTCTTAAGCCCCGATAAAGAGGGAAGCTTGGGCATAGGACTACCAACCCTAACCCGGAAAACAAATCTAACCGCTAAACAAACTTCAAAGCACAAACGATAGATAAAAAATAATAACAAAATTATTCCTCGCTGCAATCGAAGAAGCGAAATGACGCCAGTTAGTGAAAGCCTTCGGGAAGCCAATTAGTCGGGTCGATGTGTCTTCTCACTCTCGATGAAAGCGAAAGTCAACGTGGGGACATGGAATGTCCACACCATGTTCGAACCCAGCAAGGCAGCCCAGATTGCAAATGAGATGAAGATGTATCACATTGAAGTGCTAAGAATTTGCGAAAGTAAATGGAATGGAAGTGGACTTTCCAAACTGTCAACTGGAGAGGAGAGTCAATAATCTACTCCGATATTGTCACCCAGACGACAACCACAAGCACACCACACTGAGTTTTGGAGTGGCTGTCACAATATTCTCAATAGCGTCGAAGGCTCTCATGCAGTGGGAACCAATCTCATCATCATGCAGGATCAGGATCATGACATTGAGATTCAACTCAAAAGGAAGCAAAGTTACAATTATACAATACTACACTGTGCACCTACAAGTATGCAGATGAGGAAGAGAAGAAGGAGGAATTCTACAGACAACTGCAATCAGTACTGGACAAGACTGTAGTTGGCGACATCAAGACTCTAATGCGTGGGATGACATGATTGCGAAACTAGGAGCAGACAACACAGGAAGAGAAATAACCATGGATCGAGAAGCACTCGGTGAGGTGATGAACGAGAATGGAGAATTGTTTGCAGAATTATGTGCATTCAACCATTTGGTGATTAGAGTCAGGCAGTGTGTTCAAGCACAAGGATATCCACAAAGCAACATGGATTTCACTTCACCAGACATCAGGACACACTAAAAATCAGACCGATTTTATCTCAATGTGAAGAAAGTGGAGATGGAGACGCGGCCTACTGGACACAACATCAAGAAGAGGAGCAGATGTAGGTTGACACCACTCACTATCTAGTGCAAGGAACCTGCATTCAAAA